CCCCCTCGTGCACAGCACAGCACAGGACACTCTCCCATTGTGCACTTCTGTTGTGCCCTTCCCAGTTGATCCATGGACCCTCCAAGGCTTCATCCCCCCTTTTCCACCCGGGTTTGGGGTTTGACACCACTGGACCATCTTTTGGCAAAGGCTGGTGCCCACTCTGCCTGTCTGAGGCTGTTTCTCAGGTCCATGAGGAGGATAAAAGGTGGGTTTGTTCAAACACTGACGTGGGGGCTCTGGGATAGAGACCTAAGGAGGCCCCTGTGCTGCTGGAATCCAGGCTGGGAGCTGGGCAGGCGCTCTTAATGACCAGGGTAATTAATCACCACCAGTTATCTACCGCTGGAGATGGGTCCTCCATCACCTGCACTCGAAGTTGCCACTGGGCATCTTCCTGCTGAGTGTGCCCTGGCTTGGACAGAAATTATGGAGAGAGACAGAGGGGGCGGGGGGGGACATACCCTTGACACTGCTGAGGCCCCACCTCAAATCCTGGGGAAAGTTCTGGGCCCCTCAGGACAAGAAGGACCTTGAGGGGCTGGAGCATGTGCAGGGAAGGGAACGGAGCTGGGAAGGGGCTGGAGCAGCAGGAGCAGCTGAGGGAGCTGGGGGGGCTCAGCCTGGAGCAAAGGAGGCTCAGGGGGGACCTTCTGGCTCTGCAACCCCCTGACAGGAGGGGGAAGCTGGGGAGGGTCGGGCTCTGCTGCCAGGGAACAAGGGAAGGAACCAGAGGAATCGGCCTCAAGCTCTGCTGGGGAAATTGAGGTTGGATATTAGGGAAGTCTTCACTGAAAGTGTGGTCAGGCATTGGCACAGGCTGCCCAGGGCAGTGGCAGAGTCACCATCCCTGGAAGGGTTAAAAAGTACGAGTAGATGAGGCACTTTGTGGTGTGGCTTAGTGGGCACAGGGGCACTCGGTTGAAATTTGGACTTGGTGATCTTGCAAGACTTTCCCAATGTTTATGATTCTCTGATTTTCTGAGTCTGTAACGGTGCCTCGGGATGCTCCTGATGATCTTCACACCACCGAGCCTGGGGAGCGATGGGGAATCTCCCCTTGTCTTTGACAGATGATGAGCCAAAGTACACGTGAGTAACCAAGGACAGCTGTGCCTTGGAGAAACAGGACATGGAGGAAGGCAGCAGAGTCCTCCTCCTGCCCGGGACACTCAGGACTGAAACCCCTTGTAGTGGTTTCAGCCCAGGCCTTTCTGGCAACCAGGTCGACACCAGGGAAGTGGCTGTGTCCCAGTACACCATCCTATTTTTTATGTAAGCAAGACTATAAATAAGAAGGAAAGAGGAGGTTCCTTCTTCTTCTCTTCTGGTGGACTTGAAGACAGCAGATCCCTGTGGCCAGCCTTGTTTTTGTGGGAGTGAGGCCTGCTCTGGCCTGTTGTTCTCCCGATATGAGTCGAGAGATCTGGTGGAGTGGCTTTTGTCTTCTTGAGGAAAGTATTAAAATTTTGATTAGTTAGTTCCTTATTAGTTGGGTATATCTGTTTTTCCTGGTTTTGGGGATTGGGATCCTCTTTTCTTATATGTATAGAGTGTTTTTGTAACCGTAAATAAGTGTAAATATACACATATTGCTTTAGTTCAGTTTATATCAGGTCTTTTGGGGTTTTTTTCCCCTTTTTCCCTTTCCTTTAGTAAGGGGAGGGGGATTTTTGGAGTGGGTTCAGGAACTTGGTGGGGAGCCAGGTCCAAACCATGACAGCCCTTGAGTGTCACTTGTCCCCTCGAATCCTGGGGGACGTGGTGGAAACCTCCACCAGGCCAGTTCAGGGGCAGCTTTCCCAGCCAAGCCTTGGTCTTTGGCTGCCTGAAGGAAGGTGTTAAATCCAGCCTGGTCACTGTGTTGAGGCCATCAGGGAAGGATCTCCACCCTCAGAGAGCCATTTGTCCCCTCTGACGGCGGGTGTCTGATAGCCAGGATGAATCGTCCTCTCGGGGAGGGCCCCTCTCCCCACCCAGCTGCCACGGCCACCTCGCTCAGGTGATGGGAGATGGATCCTGCCATCATTGATCAAGGGCTCGATCTCAGGAGCGGGTTTTATTGGCAGAGATAACAGAGAGGAGAGAGGGAAGCACCAGTCAGGGAAGCAAGAGCCTCCCAGCCCAGGCAGCTCACGGCGAGATGGAGCTGCTGCTTTGGGCAGGCAGGAAAGTGGAGACACCAGAAGGTGTCATTTCTGACAGGAACATCCAGAGAGGGGGTTATGCCCAAGGACAAGCAGTGCCTGCTCCAAGGAGCTCAGCAGCAGGGACAAACGGTGGATTTAAACTGGAACAAAATGGGGTTAGATTGAATATCAGGGAGGAATTGTTCCTTGTGAGGGTGGGGAGGCCCTGGCACAGGTTGCCCAGAGAAGCTGTAGCTGCCCCATCCCTGGAAGTGTCCAAGGCCAGGCTGGACGGGGCTTGGAGCCATCTGGGCTAGTGGGAGGTGTCCCTGCCCATGGCAGGGGGTGGCACTGGATGGGCTTTAAGGTCCCTCCCAACCCAAACCGTTCCATGGTTCTATGATGACAGAGAGCCACCTGTGGAGCCAGTGGCCAGGTAGTGACTCTGTGGTGGAGCTGACACCCAACTCCAAATCTCAGCAGCATCAGACTTGCATCAAAACCTCAATCCTCCCTTTGTATTTACTTAAAATAAAAAAGCAAACCCCTTTACCTTTCTAGCAAGGGAAAAGACAACTTCTCCAGGCAAAGACAACTTCTCCAGGAAAAGTGCCTCGCTTTCCATGTGGTTTCAGGCAGCCCCCTCCAAAAATCAGACTTCCAGGTGTTGTGGCCTCCCTGGGGAGGGGTTAAGGGTGACAAAGGGTCATGTAGGCAGGGCAGCACCGTGGAGTCGTGTCCCACAGCAGCTCGACTGGTCCCCTCACCCTAGCAGGACCTGACCAACATCACTGCCCCCAGATGGGGTGGGCAGAGGATGCTCGTGCCTGGGTGCATTCCCTGGCTTGGTACCTAATTCCTGAGGGCACCAGGTAAGTCACAGCATCCCAGAGGGCTCAATACCTCCATAGTGGTGTGGTCTCACCTGGAATACTGTGGCAGTTTTGGGCACCACAATGTCAGAAGGATCTGAAGCCATTGGGGATTGTCCAAAGGAGGACAACGGAGATGGGGAAGGGCCTTGATTTGAAGCTGTGTGAGGACACTGAGGGCACTTGGTGTGTTCAGCTGGAGAGGAGGAGACTGAGGGGAGACCTCACTGCAGTTCCAGCTTCCTGGAAAGGGGCACAGGAGGGGCAGGGACTGAGCTCTGCTCTGGGGGGACCAGGGACAGCACCCAGGGAATGGCTGGAGCTGTGTCAGGGCAGGCTCAGGTTGGATCTTAGAAAAAGATTCTTTCCCCAGAGGGTGGTTGGGCACTGCCCAGGCTCCCCAGGGCAGTAGGCACAGCCCCAAGGCTGCCAGAGCTCCAGAAAAGTTTGGATGATCCTCTGGGGCACAGGGTGTGACTCTTGGGGATGGGCCTGTGCAGGGCTGAGGGTTGGACTGGATGATCCTTGTGTGTCCCTTCCAGCTCAGCACACTCCATGGTTCTGTGCTAAGACACCCACCCACACCCACACTGTCTCCAGGGCACTGAGGAGCGAAAATTCCCTCCTGGCTCGTGACCCAGCCACCACCTCCCCAGCAGGCAGGGGCTGAAGGAGGGGGATTATTCACTGCTCAGCTCCCAACACCAGAGCCGGCACTTTAGAGTGCTTTCATCCCTGAAAGCTTCGGCGGGGAAGAAAGGAGAGTGGACTGATCCCCAACAGCACCGTAAGTGCTTTCCTTTTTTAACAAAGCATCAGCCAGGAGGGAGCAGGGGGGCCAGGGCTGAGCAGCCCCTGCTCCAGCACAAGGCACGACCCCTCCTGCCGTGGGTTATTGGGATTTGCCCAACCTCAAAAATAAATCTTCCCCAGTTTCCTTTTATAGGGCCTTTCAAGCTCTATCCCCCAGGTCCTCGTGGAGGGTAATGAACGCGCAAGGCATGGCTTGGAGCTGCTTGAATTATTCATTGGGAATAATATTTGTTGCCCTTTTCTTCTCTTGGTGAATCAATGGAGAATTTATGGGCGAGGGTCCCCGTTATTGGGGGGCCGTTGGCTGTGTGGGCAGCAGCATTTGGAAGAAATGGGGTGTTCACCATCCTCTGCCTCTGGGCACAGAGATCCTCACCACAGGCATGGCTGCAGGGGCTTCAGTGGTTGTTGGCCAAAGCCAAGGCTGGGCTCTCCTGGGGAGGCACAGAAGCAGAAGGGGAGGGTGGCCCATGTGGGAGGGATGACTTCAGATACCCCAGTAACACCTGAGCAGCCCTGGGAGCACCCTGTGCACAGGGACACTGTGGAAACGTGGTGTCCATGAGATCAACTGGTACAGCCCAGTGTTGTCTGAGATGTCCCATCCCATCCTCACTGGCTTATTTAGGAAGTTGGGGTTCCCAGCCTGAAGGAAGGGCTTAATAGACACATTTAAAGCAGAGTGATGCTCCCAGAAAGGCTCTGTACACAAGTGCACTGCTGAGCAGGAGTCCAAGGAAACCTCTAGAAGACCTGAACTGTCTTCCCACCCCTACTGCTGGCTCTGAGTTCTCAGCTTGTGCATCCTTCAGCCTGGAGCAGGGCAAGGGCAAATCTCATTTCTGCCTCCATGTGGGTAGTTAGTGCTGTGATGAGCCCTGCCTCCCATCCCATCCCATCCCATCCCATCCCATCCCATCCCATTCCATCCCACCCCGTCCCATCCCATCCCATCCTGTCCCATCCCATCCCATCCCATCCCATCCCATCCCATCCCATCCCACCCCATTCCATCCCATCCCACCCCATTCCATCCCATCCCACCCCGTTCCATCCCACCCCGTCCCGTCCCATCCCATCCCAGCTGAGGAGCTGGAGATGTGTTTCTGAGAGCTCCTTTTTGAGGGAATTGCAGTTGTAACCCAGCTGCCCACTGAGCTGAGGATTTTGCAGGGGTTCGTATCCCACCTTTGTGCTCTTTTCCCCCTGCAAGGATGAAGATCCCACCAGCAGCTCCCTGGACCAACCCCAGAGCAGCAGGGTGAAAGCTCCATGGACAGGTCTTCTTGCAGAGCCACAGAGGAGCTTTGGGGAAAGGCCCTTTCCCAGCTCCTTTTGGGATGGGAAGAGCTTTGCCTGGAGCCAAGGAACTTCACAGGGCAGTTGCCTGCAGATGGCTCAGAGCCAGGAAAAGCAACATCTTGGGTTTGGATTTAAAGAAAAGATCCCAGAATCCCAGAATGGTTTGGGTGGGAAGGGACCTTAAAGCCCATCTCATTCCACCTTCCACCAACCCAGGTTGCTCCAACCTGGCCTTGAACACTTCCAGGGATGGGGCAGGACCTGACAGCGGGCTCAGCCTCCTGCAAGCTGCACTGAAGACCAGGGATTTCAGACCAGCTTTTCCTTCAGCAACATCTCCTGACATGTAAAACTTGCCTTTTGGATCCGAGATTTGGACCTGAATCCCCTCCACCCCCCCGAAAAAATCCAGGAGGGCTTCACAAACCTCCATCCCCCAAGCCCTGGTGCAGCTCCCCTGACACCCAGCAGGGGTGGGGCCGGACCCGGGGGCTCCCCCTTTGTCACCCACCACCTCAAAGTGACAGGGGGAGGTGGCTCTGGCTCGTCAAGGTGGCACAGTGTCATCCAAGCGCTGGCCCGCGGGAAGGAGAAGAGCCCTAACGCAGTTTTGACAACGGGGCCATCAGTTAAATGCTCCGTGCGGGTGTTTTTCCCTCTCTCTATTGTTTATTATTGGAAGTTACAAGTAGCTAAAGACCTCCCCAATTATCTGGGAGCCACTTAAGAGCAATTGAGCACCTGTCACCCAGTGAATGGGCCGCCTCGCCCTAATGACAGGAGAGGAGAAAAGATGCAGGTCAGCGGGGCCGGGGATGCCGGGATTTACTGCCGGGCAGGGCCCGCTCCCAGCGCCGGGAAGGGCGGAAAAAACACCCCCAGAGGCAGGAGGAGGAAAGGAGCCTGGAGGAGTCTCCCTTGTGGGATGGGTGGGAGACTCGACGGCCGCAGCCTGAGGGTCATCTCTTGCTCCGCGGAGCTCTGCAGCTCCCGGCATCCCGGGGGATGTGGAGCGGGTCATGCCATTAACGGCTCAGTCCCGTAAATAGGGAGGGAAAAAAATCCAGGAATCGTTCGCTGACCGTCAGCCAGCAGGAAAAAAAATCACCTGTGCTTATTTCCCCTGCTGGTGATGAGTGGGTGCACATCCCACACCAGGGGGTTTTTTTTTGGCTGCTGGAAGGGCTGGAGGTGCTGCAACCCCCCAGTGCAGAGCCTGGACCTGCAGGATTGTGGCTGCATTTCCCATACAAAGACACTTGAGACAGCTTCAGATGTGAGCTCGTGAAAACATTTGCTTTTGAGGCATCATTTTGATTAGATTTATTGTAATTTCTGTGTAATATGAGTGTATCAAGTGGGTCAGTTGTATGGAATGGCATGAAGAAAAAACCCCACAACCGAATAGCAGCCAAACCTCAGGTGACGCTCCCCCACCACGAAGGAGAAAATATGTGCCTAAAACATCCTAAAAATCACGTTGCAGGAGGTTGCACTCGGCTCTCTGATACAAAGCCTGGTTCCATTCCCAGCAAACCAAACCTGGACACAGCCTCTTCCCTCCTGCCGTGCCTTGGGAGCGACTGGGAACGACTCTCCCAGGAAGAGCAGAGGTTTTCCTCCCTAATGAAGAAACCTTTCCATGCACGAACGCCCCTCTCCTGCAGGGAACTCCAGCTTTGGATCCAGCTTTTTGGAGCAAGGAGGGGAGGAGGGGCTGGATCACCCAAGCTGGGGGTGTGCCCGGGAAGTGGGGGGCTGGGAGGAGCGGGAATGGGGGAGAAGGTGCCAACCTGGAAAAGTCCATCGATAGAAACATAAAATTAAAATAATTTGCGTCAATTCTGCTGAGTGGCTGTTAGGCCTAATTGTTATTGACTCCTCACTGTAATTATTAAGGCTTACACAGAGCTCGGCTGGCAAAGGAGGTGGGTTTGGGACCCCCCCTCCCATCCAACAGTGTGTCCCCACATCCCAGCAGGGCTGGGAGGGAGGTGGAAGGGACATGTTACCTCCTTGGTTCTTGGAAACAGCCCCCAGGAAGTCACCAACAGAGTGAGGGGGGGGAGTTTGGGCCATTTTTGGTGGGCAGGAGCAAGAGGGGAGCTGGAGAAGAGATGAGCAAGGGGAAAACCGAGGGCAGATGGGAGGAACGGGAATGGGAGGAACGAGGAGGCAGCTCCAGAGAGACCCCGTAGGCTCTGGCAGAGCTGTTTGCTTGGTGTGGTGCCGGGTAATTTTCTCCCCTCCTTCCCCCGGCCTTTGTTTCTGCTGCCAGCACAGACCCCGAGCAGCAGAGGAGGCTGATCAATAGGAACACGGTGTTTGCATGGATCATACATGCGAAGAGCACGTTCCCGGATCAATGCCGAGGGCTCGCAGAAGGAGAAGAAGGGAGGGGAAAAAAAAAACCCCACCCTGCCAGGATGCACATCCACACAGGATGGACCGTTTCCATGGCAATGGGCTGCTCTCCCTGTCCTCTGCAGCCGTGGGGACCCTGCTCAGCACCCCAAGGCAAGGATCCCACCGGGATCTCCACCTGCCGAGGGGGCTCCAGCTGCCCTCGTGGGGGTCAACCCCCCCCAGGTCAGCTCTGCCCACGGGCTGGATGAGGCCCCTCACACCAAGTGACGTGGGGTGTCACCACCCTACGTCCAGCAGTGGAGAAGATCCTCATCCTGTTTTTCCTCCCTCCCACAGGCCACGGCTGAAATCGCAGCTCCCAACTGCCGGTGAGCCCGCGCGGGATCCCCGGCTCCACCTCCCTACCTGCCTCCTTCCCCCGGGGGCGCGGAGGAATTAATTAGATCAGGTCTTTAAAGTGCTCTGGAAATGAAAAGCACTTGAGAAAAGTGGTCAGAAACCTGGAGGGAGCCAGAGGTTGCCCAGCCAAGGATGGACATCCCCTGCTTTGTCTCCATGCAAGGAAAGACACCCTGAGACAAAAATCCCACCAAAGTCCCCCTGACCAGCCCTCGTGGGGTTCTCTCGCCCACCTTCCACGCTGGGCTTCACCTGTGGCTGCGCAGAGGGGAGGGAGGTTGGGCTCTGCAGCAGAGCCAGCCAATAATTCCCAGCCAATAAAGTTATCTAAGGGTAATCATTAAGCCCTCACGAGCAGTGCAGCTCGTGTGGAGCTGGGGGAGGCTCTGCTGCAAACGCCCTTCAGAGAGCGCCTGACCTTGGTTAGGCAGAGCCAGGCGCTGGCTCCAGACCCCCCCTGAATTTGGGGATGGAAGACAGGTCTCCTGGAGAGCAGTCAAAAGGCTCGTGGTGGCAACCACGGCCAACTCCTGCTTCCAGCAGTCCCGGCCCTCCTGCGGCAAGGAAAGGGCACGGGGCAGGGGGAGGAGCTGGGAGCACACGGGGCACAACTGGAGCTCTGAGAAGAGCTCCTGAGCATCCCCCACCCGCCCCTGAAGTTGGGCAGTTGTCATCCATGAGGGCAAAGTGTGGATGAGAAGCTGGACATGCCCCGGCCGTGTGTGTTGGCACCCAGAAAGCCCCTGTGCCCTGGGCTGGTCCCACAGCGTGGGCAGCAGGGGAGGGGGGGATTCTGCCCCTCTACCCCCTCAGGTGAGACCCCCCTGCAGAGCTGCCTCCAGCCCTGGGAACAACAGCACAGGGACGTGGAGCTGCTGGAGAGAGTCCAGAGGAGGCCACAGGGATGCTCCAAGGGCTGGAGCCCCTCTGCTCTGGAGCCAGGCTGGGAGAGCTGGGGGGGTTCACCTGGAGAAGAGAAGGATCCAGGGAGAGATGAGAGCCCCTTGCAGGGCCTAAAGGGGCTCCAGGAGAGCTGGAGAGGGACTGGGGACAAGGGATGGAGGGACAGGACAAGGGGAATGGCTTCCCAGTGCTGGAGGGCAGGGATAGATGGGATATTGGGAAGGAATTGTTGGCTGTGAGGGTGGGGAGGGGCTGTCCCAGGTTGCCCAGAGCAGCTGTGGCTGCCCCATCCCTGGAAGTGTCCAAGGGCAGGTTGGATGGGGCTTGGAGCAACCTGGGCTGGTGGAAGGTGTCCCTGCCCATGGCAGGGGTGGAACTAGATGGGCTTTAAGTTCCCTTCCAACCCAAACCATTTTGTGATTCTATGAAATCCCATCCTTGGAGCACCAGAGCTGCTTCCCAAAGCAGCTGCCCCTGGTGTTGGCAGCCTGTGGGCAGAGCTGCCTCCAAAGGGTTTGTCTTGGCACCACCCTGGCCCCTGCTGTGGCGTGAAACATTTTTTTTTAATCAGCCAGGAAGTAAATTAAAAAAGTTGGCTGTGCAGGAATTAGGCCTTTTGGCTGATAGTTTGGGAAGCATCTGTCTCCATTGACTGCAAATTAGTCTTCCACAGGAGAGTAATCAGATGGTAAATGCAGCCACAAATGAAATCACCCCTCATTAACTATGCAAACCAAGAGGTCTGTAAAGGATCAGCCCAACAAACCCCCTGGAGGGAGGGCAGGGGAGCTGGGCAGGGGCTGGGGTCACCTCTGGTGCCATGAGATGGGCTGGGGACATTGGGACCACCTGAGAGTTGTGCTCTGAGCAGGAGGTCTCACCTGCCTGAGAAGGACATGGAGGGAGTGTCTTGGATGAACAGAAGCCCAGCTGGTGTATTTGGAGCAAAACCAGACACCAGCCCAAAAAAATACTGGTTTGGGAAGGGTGAGGGGTCAGTGAGGCCGAGTCCCAGGTTCTGCTGGTCCCTGGAGAGCTGACTTTCAGTTTTCTAAGGCAGCATCACCTGTAGATGCAGCCTCGGGGCGGGCCATGAGCACCCCAATGGAGAGGCAGCATTTCCTCCTCCTCCTCACCATCCTGCCCACCCATCACCCTGTCCTGGAGCTCCAGGGTGGCCCTGCTGCATCCACAGGCCCAGGTGGAAGAAGGGACATGTGGGACAGGGGGTGCACTGGGATGTCCTGGGAGAAACAGCCCCTGTAGTGACATTCCTGGCCAGTGCAGCAGGAGAATCACTCAGGATTGAATGCTGGGTGACAGACTGGTGGTTTGGAGCCGGGAGAAACAAAGCTCAGAGGGTATTTTCTCCTATTTTGTTCTCTTCAAACTCCTGGGAAAGAGTGGGGAAAGGAAAAACCAAACCAAGCAGCAATCCCCCCCCAGCAGTCCCAGGAGAGGGGACGGTGCAGATGTTGCCAGCTGTGCCCTGCCTTGCCAGTGGCCCCGGGGAAACCCCTGCACCCACAGGTGCCTCTTCCACAGAGCCTGTTTGGACTGGAAGTTCATCATCATGACACAGAGTGAAAAAAAAGAGAATTTTGGTCTCCCAGTGACACCACCACAAACACGTGACAAACACGGGGAGCCAGGGAGACATTTACCCCTGTGAGAGAGGTCAGCACAGAGGTTATGCAGCATCTGAGCCCTGGGGACCTGCCTCCATGCACAGGGCTGTGCTCTGCCCTTAAAGAGTAATCCCTTAAAGATGACTTTTCCGCCGGAGAAGGGGAGGAGACGGGGGCAGTGTGAGAGCCTGCGTGCGGCAGGACCGGGTTCTTTGTTGCCTGGAGCTTGTTAAATCCATACATTGAAGAGAAGAATAAATAAAAAATCAAATCTCTACTTCTGAAAAGCGTTTCTGTGGGGAGCTGCTTCCCTGAATCTTCCAGCCCCGGCCCCTGTCGATAAATCAATAGCTGATGCAGGTCGGCTGCAATCGGCTGCAGGAGAGCAGGCGTGTGATGGATGGACAGCAGAGAGGAGGATCTAAGAGATAGGGCAGAGGTGATGCTCACCTTGAGCTTTATTGTTTGCCACTGAAAGGCAAGGTGGTGTGGAGGCATCAGCTGAAGTGGTGACAGCACAAACGCCCCCTCCTCCAAGCCCACCTCTCCAGGAGAGCCCGCAGTGCCTCTCCTCCAGCATTTATCCCACACCCCGTGGTCTCACTTGCCACATAAATGGGTAAAGGGAGGCGAGGAGAGAAGCTTAAGGATGCTCCAAGTGGCTGGGAAAGGAGGGAAGGCCCTGAGGTGCCTGGTCAGGTGTTTCTTGTGCCTTAAAGCCCTTCAGTGTTGGCTGCAGGGGGATCTCGTTGCTCCTGCCTGGTGAGGAGGGGGGGCAGGGGAGAGGGATGTGGGGTTTGCACAGCTGATTTCCCAGGATTTAAGCTCAGCATCAGAAAGGGGACAACTGAGCCAGGGAAGGGAGGACTAGATCTCCTGGTGTGGAGGTTGGCTCAGGCAGCACAGACCAAACCCAGCCCAGCACAGAGACCAGCCTGGAGCAGGACGGGCTTCCATCAGCCTGACTCATGAGGTGAAATCTGTCCTCCGGCCCCAGGGATTTGCTCTTCCCTCCCCTGAACTCCAGGAGAGCCTTGGGACCCTCCCTGTCCCCTGGGATGGATGCTTGAGGAGAGCTGGTGAGGAATAAGGTGACACTTGTCCTGCTGAACCATTTCTCTTTATCTTCAGCTTCATGAGTTTGGCTGAGGCTGCACTGGCCACCCCCTGTAACTGCCCTCAAGGGCTCATTCCAGCCCCTCCAAACACATTTATGCTTTGGGTGCAGAGACAGGGAGTTCCTAAACACAAGGAAACACAGTGGGAAGAAGATTCCCTCTGGTTTGCTCTGAGCCTGCTTATCAGGGAGATTTTCGGGGGGTTGAAAACCTCCAAATTCCGTTAGGAAAACAAGCAAACAACCAT